GCGCGGCGCGCCTGCCGCTCCAGGGCCCACCGCAGCTGCCCGGCCACCGGCGTCATGTTTTTGTTGACGGCCGGGCCCCCTGCGTGCGGCGGCAGGGAAGCGGTCTGGGCGTCGTACAGCGCCTTCACATTGTCCAGCTCAGCGTTGAACATTCCCAGCAGGGCTGAGAAGTAAGGGGAAACCTCAGCCCTTATCAGAGGTCGCTCCAGCAGGGAGGCAAACATGTGCACCAGCTGCGGGAGGAAGAGGTGTTCTGTGCTCGGGAGCATCACCGCAACGGCCCGGGACCCCCCCCGGCGTCCCCTCCATGCGTGTGGGGGCAGGCAAAGATGCCCCGTGCCCCAGGGCAGGCCCCATCAGGCCGGGGAGGGGGCACAGGTACCTTCACAGCCGATGCCAGGCAGTTGCAGTCGTCAAAGCCTTGGCAGAGGATGGTGGCCAGGCGCCTGTCCACGTCCTGAACCTTCTCCTGGAATGCTGCAAAGTCCGTGTTCAGTTGCTGCAGCGAGAGCAAAACCATTTAAGTCTCTGCGCTTCCTTCCCAAACCCTTCCCGAAGGATTCGCGGAGCCCCGTGAGCTGCCCCAAAGCCGGCACGCGCGCTGCCGCGGGACAGGTTTATGCACAGGTCTGCCAGCGTGTCCCGGCGGCGATCTTTGTTAATTAGCAAATACGTGAGACTTCCACAGCAGCGCTTGCTCACCTCTTCTGCGGGGTCTAAGGGGTCGTATTTGCAATCGGCAAAACCCTTGAGGAGTTCAGAGACCTCCTCGTAGATCTGGAACACCTGGCTCCCGAGGACGCTTCCTCTCACTCCTCCCAGCTCTGCCTTCTCCAGCTTCAGAAACTCCACAGCTGTCTGGTACAGCTCCTGGCCAGCACAAACCGTCGTCTCAGCTGGCTCCTCTGGGGGGGCAAACCCCAGCTCTCCGTGCCCCCCGCCTTGCGGGTGCAGGAACTGCAGCACCAGTGCAGGGCTCTGTCCCGCAACTTCATCGCTCCAGAGGAGCATCCTTCCCGGGGGCATCCATCCTGCCCAGGGGCGCCCATCCTGCCCGGGGGCACCCATCCTGCCCGGGGGGCGCCCATCCTGCCCGGGGGGCGCAGGGGCACGGGTGGTGGGCTGGGAGCAATGCTGCTGCGATCCCAGCAAGGCTGGGCTCCCACCTCCCCTCTGCTCCTCGCCTGCACCAATGGCCCCAGTGTCAGAACAGAGTTTGCCGCTGTGCCTCTCTCAGGGAGCCCCCCCAGCAGCCCCGGGGCAGGGAGAGCCCACATGGGCCTGGTGCCGTGCCCCAAAACGCCATGCTGTCACCTCAATGGTCCTGAGCCTGTGCAAGAAGGCATCTGTTCGTCCGAAGATGAGGGAGGGGGGGAAGTCCCAGAGATGCGACTCCTCCTGGAAGCGGAGAGGGGCCGTCAGCGAGCAGAGCTGGCACGGACGGGGCCAGGCGGACCCGCGCCGTCCCCTGTACCCACCAGGAAATACACGGGCATCGTGTCGGAGCAGTAGATGCTGTAGGACTGGAAGAGCTTCTCGATGGTAGAAATGCCCAGTCTGATGCTGCTCAGGGTCTCCTCGGTTTCTCCTTGCAGCCCCTTCATCACGTCCTCGGGGCTCAGGAAGTTGCGGGTCTAGGACAG